ATCCGGACAGGAAAAAAAGCTAATGCATCTCTTTCTCTCTGCATAAACAGGATGCTGTTGAAACTAGTCTCCATGTATCTCGCTCAGTTGCTATATACCTTTTAAACTCGTTAGATCCATGTGTGCTTTAACAGAATGTTTCTTAAATAGATGATATAGTCTATTCTTATCTTATTGCTATTCAATGTTCACATAACACGTTGTCTGTACTAGATTTGTGAAGGAAAGGGCGTGTATATAAATGATATTTATACTCAATTACGAAAGTTATTCAGTTAGCCAAAAATACATGTATATAGAAATGAATAAAAGTGGCATTAAACATCCAAACATAAACATGAAAGTTCGGTGACCTGAATGGCGTTTCGTATCGCCATACCTCCACGTCGTCTAATTCAGACTGCAAAATACATGAAATTGGAAGAGGGAGATGAAGTTGATGGCTGTGAATAATCAAGATGATAATCACCATCATCATACCATTATCAATACAATGGAACGGGAATTGCTGCCTACTCTTGAGCGGAGACCGAGATGGCGCGCGGACAGAGGGTTGACCTGTGGTACCTGTCGCACCTGTTATATATTCATGCTATTAATAGTAGCTCTTATTTTTCTTCGTTATATATTCATCCACTGTAATTTTTATCTCTAGTTTTCAATACTTTCATCCCCGGTAGAATAACAAAACAAAGTAGTGGAAACTGAATGAGGAGACCGATAACCCAAAGAATTATTATACAAACTGTGATATAATACTAGGATAAGTTGCTCATCAATAAATAAACCAACACACTCGGAAAACTTAATATCATAGAAATTAATGGCGGTAGTGTTAAAACGGCAAGAAACCCAACACAGTGGATATTCATACATAGGGACATACAGATACACAGAGTTAAACGCAAATCTATCTAGCTATTTGGCTGTCTAGCTTTCTACATATAAGTGTGCGTGTGTGCATCTATATATCTATCAATCTATCTTCACACACGCGCACTGTGTCTCTCTTTCTCTCTCTCTCGCACACGTTTATTTCTGTGAATATGAATACCCATACGTATGCATATTCATTGGGTCGGGCCTCTCAGTTTTAACAGCTGACCGAATAACGGGTTGAAATGTGAACGTGGAACCTTCTCGACACACTTAAAGTTTCCTCGCGTTTATGTTATCCGATGACCACTCACTAGCAAGATTCTTGTGATTTTATTTACAGTTTAGTATTCACCAGCAGTGTCCACACGAGAGAGAGCTGATAGTAGACATATTCATACTTATCACCAACATTCATTCATTCTATTCAATTCAAAGTGTTTAAAGGGGGGGTTAATATATAAACGTGAAGATATCCCTATTATTTGGAGTTAAAAGTCTACAGTGATAACTATGCAGAGATTACTGTTAACTTCTTAACTATGTTGTGTTTTACCGCTTTTAATGAGAAAACATTTTTGCTCATGATCGATTCCAGGGAATAAAATGAGTGCACATTAATGACTTTGCATTATTACGAAACATACTTATTCTATTATTAAAATCAGTAACGGTGGAATCAGTGTAATCGCTCCACTGAAATCCTGTCGTTGTCATATTCCAGGACGACTTTGATTATATTATTATTCAAATATTCTTTTAGCATCTACAATAGTGTGGACGGTAACAAGAACCAACTAATAAATCGCGAGAGTTTTTTGTATGATTAATATGACTGTGGGTTTATCTAAGGTTTTGATTTTTTTTTTTTACAAAACGAAAATAACTATTTGGCAAAGTGAAAAATTGTACTGTTACTGTAGTGCTTTTAAAACAACAAAGGCATTCTTGCTGATTAAATGATAAATGAAGACATACTGCCGTTGATGTTAAAATTTAATTTTTGTCTACCAGTTTGTCTTAAAATTAGAATGACAGAAAATATGTTTAAATAAACTTCCTTTCACAATAATTCTGTGTGATGCATTCACATCAAGGTTTTTTCTTTCTATAACTGCAGAATCTATTACCAGAAAGTATCATATTTGACTGTAAGGAAAACATAAAATAGTAAAAGCGGTCAAACTGAGACTTTCGGCTGCTATGTATTCAAAATGCATCCACTTGTGGCAATCAATCACGCCCTGGAATATATGATTTTCAGTGGATCTGGATTTCGCGTGGCACATGCACCAATGACATTAGCCAGTATAACACTTATTGAAACTAAAAATTCCAGTTCGATGGTTGGCTAATCTTCAAATTGGTATTTCTCTAAATTGGTCCTTCTAGCTTTCGGCCTTAGCATACACAGACGCATTTTTAAACTTTTTTAAACAGTCATTAATTAGTGCAAGTTGCCATGTTATTATTATTTTTGTTTTATCAGAATACAAAATAAAATATGATGTAACTCTATTTCATGTGTCTTAGTGCCTTTTTATACGGCTACATTTATTGTCTTATATCTAAACCTAAATGTTGGAATGGTTATAACGTTTGAAAATAAACATGCAAAATATTA